ATTGTTTGTTATAGGCAGTATTGGGACTTATCTAGATAAATTATCTAAATAGATTTTTTGTCACCTTTTATCTTATCTAAATAAATAACGCTAAGTTATCTAATTGCTTATCTAAGATAAAATTTTTACTTATCTAGATAATTTATCTGTATTCTTGCCAAGATTAGAGTTATTTTTATTCTTGTACGGAGACGAATCCAACAAATCAGAGATCATCAAAATCGGTCCAGCTGTTTTTGAATTATAAATTCTCTAACTAACCCGACTTTCTTTTATATGTAAAGATTTTGTATTCATAATCATAATTCGTGTATTATTAATAAGTAATTATTATTTATTGGTATGAAATTTTGTTTGTATTTTCATGTCGAGAAAATATTTTTGGTTTTTTTAAACTTAATTTCTTATTTTTCCATGGAAGTTTCAATTATAGTAAGTAGGTATTTGATTTTATTATACACTTGTAACTCATACGCTGAATAGTTAATACTTCACTCTTGGAACCCGTAAAGTCGTAACTACTTATAGAATAATGAAAATCATCAAATTGAGATTATATGGAAAAAAAAATTGTTAACTTAAAATAATTTCTTATGTACTCTGTATTCAACCTGATACGTATAGAGCAATTTTCATTTTTTTTTTTTTTGTGTAATATTTTAGTGATTAGCTATCATTAAATATTGTACATTATACATAAATACTGCTTAATGGTACACAAAATTACTACAATAAACATTAAACACCTAGGTATCTATTGATAATAATGATTATAATTGAGTCTTCATAGATATTATTACAAATATGAAATATTGACCAAAAAATAAAAAAAATTGAAAATATCTTTTTTTTATCTATTACCTTTATCTAGATGAATTTAGACATATTATTTTTCATCTATATCTAGATAAATTTTGCATTATCTATTCCGAACACTGGTTATAGGTCAGTACCTATATCAAAAAGCTCATAGCACTGTCGTTTGTACTTGGGGAAGTTGTTACCAATATAAAAAAAATAGAAAGATTTGAAAACATATAACTATTATAACTGAGAATTTTCATGACTATTTTTTTAATAAACCAATAGTTACTGTATTTCAAAGCCAAATAATGTCGAGATAGATAACGAAGAATACCAGGCACGTCGGAATAGATTTTTCTATAAGGAAGTATTTTGGTCACTTTATACTTGGTGGCTGTTTTAGGCGAGCATAACACGTTTTTTCAGCTAAATCGGCTCGTGTGTCTAATATGTATATTGTACGACGGGAGAAGATAAAGCTCACTACACCCAACAGTCGATTATACCGCGTAAAATAACAGTTGACAAATTACCGCCAAGAGTAACTTGTAATTCGAACAATATCAAGTACGTCGTGCGTGTCATCTCTGTCATTTGAACCACCATTGTTCAACGTTGTGGTCCAATAATCAGGTGTATACATTTAATTGACTACATTTTATATTCAAACAATAAACATCGTCGTGTTGCTCATTTGATAAATGTATATCTTACGTGATTGACGAGTCCCTGGAATCCCGCTATAAAATATTAATCATGGAGCTTTGGTGTTTATAGTGCCGAGATAGTCTAGCCACCTATATCCTCGGAATTCCACTAGATAAATCTGTTGGCGGACCATTCGGTATTCTTAACGAATACCGAATAGTCATGTTACAGCTCATAGATGATGCTTTTCCGAAGAAATATTTTTCTGATAAATTGCGCTTTTGGATAAGTACGTTTCCGACTAAAAATAGTTCAAGAAAAAAGTTCATGGAAAAAATATTTTCGACCAAATACATATCCAATCAAATAATATTTATATTATGTTTCAAATAAAATGTGTTTCCGAATAATACATTTTCAACAAAATAAGTTTCCGACTAAATACTATTAGGAATTAATATGGTTCTAGGGAATGCAGTTCATGAGATGTACGTTTCAGACAAAATGCATTTCTAGCGAAATATGTTTCCGACAAAAAATACGTTTTTGATCAAATATTTTTCTACATAAATACAACTAGCATATATTTTTTTAACCTTTTACGCGGTTCGTTATAATGGTTGGGTATTTTAATTTTTCCCGATAAAGCAGCAAGTAACCAATAATTATTTTACTTACATGTTTTTTTTTCGATAATAATGCACAAAAAAAATTTTAATTTATATCAGTGGCGTAGCCAGGAAATTTTTATGGAGGGGGGTTCAGCAAATTAATATATATTTAATCTTATCACTTTAATTTTAACTACTATTTGTATTAATCTCGGTATTTTTAAGTCAGGTTGATATTAATTTTTTTGACTATGGTAGAAAAAAATAATTAATTTTTCTAGTCTGCTTATTTGTTAGATAATTTGCCTATAATAATAATAACAATTTAGGAACTAGGAACTAATATAGGAACATAAATATTAGATATTAGAATATTTTCTGTCCAATCACTTAGGTATACTAAAAAATAAATTTTAAAAATATCTTATAATGGAATGACGTCTTAGAATTATGTCAAATTAAAATAAAACAAGTATAATGGAATACAAATGTCATATATAAACGAATAAACGATTAGTAAGTAAAACAGTGAGACATTAACGGGCAACGACCAACTATTAACTAATAACTATTAGTTTTACATAATAAGGTGCTTGTGTTAAATGATCGGTGAGCCGTGAATGCAATAGGTAAACCCAAAACAAACTTTGAATACGGAAAATGATATCGCTTTTATCTCAGTTATCGGGACCAGACGACCGATTTAGAATCAGCCGTTGAAGAAAACTTAAATAATATGTTCTCAAGCAAAAACTATCAAATTAATAGTAAAGTATCTAAATATGATCATAATATTATGACGTGTGTGTGTGTGTGTGCAGCGTATGCATAATATGTTTATAGTATTTATATAAACTATTAATATGATTTCCAAGTCAAAATTCTAAAATATAAAAATGTTAAAGAAAAAACCGTGTTTTATATAAAAGTTAATACCTATACCATTTCAGGTTCATGGGGGGTCTGACCCTCCCTATGGATACGCCACTGATTTATACAGCCTATGACATTCCACGTGTAATAAAAAATCTTTATTTCAAATTTCAAAACAATCGGTCGTTGTTTTTGAGATATTTGTTGATAAAAAATGCCGTCTTTTTATATAGGTAATAGTAAAATAAGATATTATATAAGCAATAACTCGATGTCTACAATTTCTCTCACAGATTCTTTCGACATTCTATAGTAGTGTTTTCCATCATTTATGCTGAGATGGCCCATAAATGTTTTTAGTGTTGAAAAGATGTTCACAATCGAAGTGTAAGGGCAAAACAATTTGACGATGAAAACTGACGTGTTTTACGGACGATTGCCAGGATCGCTATTAACCAGAGTTTAAACGTGTAATACGGCATAGTATAAAACACGTAATATACGTACGTATAAAACGTATAAAATGTATGGTATAAAACAAGTAGTTTTATACGTTTTATACTGTATAAAAATAAAATTCCTTATAAACAAAAAAGCATTTATAATTTAAACACAATAAAACAAGAAAATATGAATTATAAATAAACAATTGTGGTGCTATTAATCTATTGTTAATAATTATCATTATTTTATCACGGACATATTTATAGTAAATTCATTGTACTTGGGATATTTGTAACACTTTTAATATTTTATATTAATAGATTATAAACGAAAAATTAAAGTAGATTTTATACACGTATATTACTAACTCTGCTATCAGTCATCATCACAGCTCCGTCAGTTGTGTCACTATGGCTAGGCCAACCGAGAAATCTGGATTTTCCCGGAAACATAATTTAAATCAAGTAAAAGAATATTTACACGTCTACGTTAGGTATCGTATGATTAACACGTGTTTTATATAAAGTTAGTATAACTATTTTTTTTTTTTTAAGTTTTGGTATATTGGTTTCAAGTTTAAAAGAATAATATAATTCACCTGTTCAAGATCTCATCAGTTTCACACGTTTTAAATTACAAGAATAAAAAAAAGTATTAAAACATTTTAATAATCTCAGTTATCTATTTTCTGCATTTCTATTGGTAGTAAATTTAAGTACTATTTAATGACTATTAACAATATACATATTAATTTATTCTTCGTTGTATTTTAACAGTACATTGAGATATTTTTAATCATTTCTGTATAATGAAATAAATTATTACTTTAAGTTAACAATAATATATAAAGAAAAATCTAAAAAAATAACTTAGTGTTATGGTAAAACTTCATACTTTCACAAAATTTGGCATACCCATTGCTATACATTTTTAGTACCTACCTTAAGTGTGTGGTGATAATTTTTTTTTAATTTATACAGAACTATGTTTCTAATTATAATAAAATATAAATACTTCAAATTTATTTATTTCAAACAAGTCACATGAACAAATATAAATTAACATTGCATCGTCTTGAGTTCATTATATTGTAGATATTGGAAGTGAATTTTAATATTTACCTTTCAATAACAAATAATAATGAATAAATGAATCATACACTACTATAATATAATTAATACAGAAATATAACATAATACCTATGAAAAGTTTTCGGATAATATTTAAAAAAAATGCCAAAACAGTACATTTTTTTTCAATCTCATCTTTAATATTTAATTTCAAACTAAACGCAAGTATTAAGATTACAAATCATTTCATTATTATTGCACTACAATAACACAAATTCTTATTAAGATATAATTGATAGAACATTAAACATTTTATGTATTAGTTTTTCAATAATTCTGAAATAGAATAGCTAAATTATAATCAATATGACAAACAAACAAAAATAAAAAAAGATAAATTTAAAGTAAATATAATTTATATAATTCATGATTATATATAATAATCATTAAACTTAAAAATGTAACTGGAAAAATATACAATTAAAAAATGTGAATAACATAAAATTAAAAAGGATCCTGGAAATATGTACAAAATGTTTAATAAGATAGCCCATTATTTAACATTTTAATAATTAACTTGTGACTATATATATTATAATATATATAATACAATTATTATTTGCAAGAAAACAAATTAGTGAAAAGTACCTTCTTATACACTGGAATGAAAAAAAAAATTAATCATTGAGTAAAAAGAACTAGTAACACATTAACAACTAATTCTTTTTTTTTTTTTCATTGAAGATAAAAGAAAACTTATTATTATTTTAATCAATAAAGCTTTGCTCAACGCATAACTTCACTCTTTTTTCATATTCTCTGCGATTTTCCTTATACAACTGAGCAGCCATAGAATTAGCTGGTGAATTAGGATTGGGATCACTGAGTAAAGATTGAATGGATGTTAAAATAGCAGCTACATCATATGTAGGACTCCAACGATTCTGTAATATATCAAGACAAATGCCTCCATCTGCGTAGACATTTGGATGAAACATTTTAGAAACAAATCTAACTGTAGGTGGTTTGTTTGGATATTCTTCAGTAAATTCTATGGTTAATTTGAATGTGCCATCCTCAAAAGGAGTATCATGCGGTCCAAATATCACTGCTTTCCAAATCATAATGTTATTATCAGTTGGTGTACCACTGATACCAGCAGGTGGATCTTCTTGTAATTTTTTAAAATCTCGCATAAGCCTACGCCTGGCTGGAGTTGACATGATAAATGATTACTTTTAAATTAAAATAAAATCTGAAAATAAAATAAGAAACAAGTAATTATAATCAAGTCAATTTTTTTAAAAATAATTATACATCAATATTTAAATATATATTTTATTCTAATACTATATATTCTTAAATATATATTTTTATTATTTTAAAATAAATAATATATTACGTCGGCTTCTTGCCAAAAATAATTAACGGCGTTTTGGTCATTTTTTTTTTTATAGCGCAATCCAGTGTACAAATCAATTTCCTTTCGATTGACAAGAGGTGTCCAAAGCGAATTTTTCACTTTAAATGCCTTTTTTTTTTATAATTTTAGATTGTAACTATCGGTTAATCTAAAGAAATTGATATAACTAAAACTCACTATTGGTTTGATGATTTTTGGCATAAAATGCAATAACAAATTTATGTAAGTCGAAATTCATTATCGGTCCATAAGTTATATTCTATAATTGTTGTATAGCAAATAGCTGATAGTCAGAATTCATTATTGGCGTGTTGGTTTATCGTTGTTCTATTTTTATTTTAAAGAAATGTTCCAATATATATAGTTCAAGATTAGTTAACTATTTTCCAAGTTGCAAGATCAACACGAAATAGAAATAAATCTAAGCCCCCATATGAAGTAAAAGAAATGCATTTCAGGGATTTTAAAAACTTACAACTATCTTTTTCAATCATTAAAAATAAAAAAATTGACACTGAAGGTAATATTATGACCTTGTTAAAAGTTATGTTTTGAATATAAAAAAGATAATCCATACATTGTTGGGTATAAATATGATTATTTTAGTGAATATCAATTAATTAATGTTGGAAGAAAAAATGTTAAAAATATAAGGGTGAATAGTAGCAGAATTTCATCAACCAATATTAGTAATTTAGATCTTCACTGTTTGTATTCAAAACCAACGCCAATAAGCCATGAAAAGAAAAAAGACCTTCTTCAGCTATGTAAAAAGAATGTAATAAAAAAGAATGTAATGCAAGTTTGCCGCTTAAAAAAGATAAAAGCTCCAGAACCAGGAGTATTTGATTTAGAGGAAGACGAAAATTATTGATTTTATTATAATTATTTATATATTGGTAGTATACTATTATGTTAAAAGTTTTAAATTACATACAAAATAATATTTGTATTTTTTTTAATGTAATATTTATAACAGTTTTGATAATGGTTAATTTGATTTTAGAAAGTTTATGAGTTATGTTATGACTATAATTATATAAAAATACCTATTAATAATTACATTTTTTTAATTTTTCATGATAATCACAACAATAATTATGTTTATAATAAACAAAAAATTAACACCTTAGCAAAAAAAATTGATAATTAACATAATAACAGTTTTACCATGTAATCAGCCAAGTATGTCTAATGAGAAAAATAATTATTATTATACCAATAATGAATTTTTCCACCCAAAGGGAATAGTAAAAATAATTTTTTTTTCAGCAAAAATCATTAATGGTTATACTTTTTACATACAATATTTTGCCAATAAAAAAAACTATGTTGCTTAAAACACTTTGACCAACAACTAATGTATTAAAATGTAGTAATACAAGCAGATTTCATTAAAAAAAAAAAAAAAAAATGACTTAAATATCATAGAAATTTAAAATTTTGTGGGGTTGAAATCAAAAATTAATTCTTTTTGAAACTTTAAAGTTGTTTTGTGAACAATTAACATTTTAGTGATTTTTGGCAAGAAACCTCTTAAATTATATTATTATAACTGTAATAATAAATTAATATATCTAAGAATATTTTTATCCTAATTAAGAGAATAATTACATAACTAATATGAATTTTCATAACTTTCCAAAAATTAAAAGTTCAAAAACTATAACAAAATTAAATTGATATTTCAATTAGAACACAATGATATGAAAATTATTATTTTACCTGTACATTTTGACACATTATTCTATTAAATAAATGTAAATAAGGTTACATCAATTTGAGAATTATATGGTGGCCATTGGTGTGTGTGTGTAGGGGGATATATAAAAATTGAGATAAGTTAAGGTTTAAGATAAGAGTGGTCAATTCAAAATAGTTGGGAATGAAGCAAAAGGGTAGAAGAAGATATAATGTTACATCAATGAATGTATTCTTAACTCAAGTCTAATAACTGCCTATAGATCAACAAACCTTCACATTCACCATTTTAAAAAGAAAATTTACTTTTAGAGTAAAAAAAAAATCAAATATTAAAATATAAATGCTTGGTAATTATTAACTGTATACAAAAGTATTTCAATTGAAAACCATTTATCATTTTGGTTGAATTTAATTTTCTAATAAATTTCTATTGACATTTTATTATAATTAAGTAAGAGCATAATTAATATATTATGTATATTGAAATTATATTTGATATAAAATAAATATAAAATATGTTTAGTTATAATTAAGTACTTCTATAAGTATATTTATTTCTTTATCACAACTGTGCTACATTAAATGTAAATATAATTGTAAAATACAAATCAGTATGTTCCTTATACTTCATAAATAATTAAAAAGATTAACAGTAAAAATAAACTAAATATCTAAATTTATATAATTCTTGTTCAAATTTAAGTTGTAAAAATCTTATTTATATGTTAGAAATTCATTTAAATAATTATTTTTTAATAACTAAAAATTACTATAAATAAATGCATATTTTTAGAAAGTTGAAATATAAATATAATCAATTAAACAGTTTGTGGTATTAAAATATCAAACATTAGAGAAAATTCTAAAAATATAATATAAATTATTCTTATCTAGATTTTCCCAAAATTTTCTCAGTACAATTTATTTTAGAATGCTATGACATTGTACTAAATATTTGAGAATTTAATAATAAAATATTAATCATTAATTAAAATCCTATACGACCTACATTTTAATAACCTTATTATTAACTTATAAACATAAATATAATATTTCTACCTAATATAATAGGATAAGTCAAATCTACAGAATTTAAGTTTAATATAGCAATACAATGTATTGTTGATAAATACAATTTTAAGCTTGAGTTATAAATATAAAAAATCCCAAAATAAAACTTTAAAGCAATAATTTCTTTATGAGTTTTTAATTTAACATATAGAAGGAAAATGTGAAATTAAGAATTTTAATAAATAGTGAAATAGATGTACGATTTCATAATTCAAGTTATGACTTGCACTATTACATCAGAATGCTACTGGTCACGAATAGATGGTAAGTCAGAGGTATAAGGGTAAAAATTGCAATTGATAAAAAATTTTGAAATAGTGCGATGAATTAGCAAAATAAATATACATATTATGTAATGTATTGTTAATGATCAATTTTGTTTCATCAAAAGTTCAAGCGATTGAGAAGTATTTTTCAAGTAAGCGATTTTTTAAGAATTAAAACAACATGTGACACTTTATCTCAAATATAAATTAAAAGGTTAATATGCAATCAAGTTTCGAAAAGATAACGTGTTGATCAACACAAATTTTAAATGCGCATGCCTAACCTAACCACGAGATGACGATCACTAAATGAAACTGTTAGCTTAACATTCTCTAAGATTTATTGTAAAAAAAAGATAACAATATATAACAAATGTCATCTATTACAAGTAACATAACTTACCGAGTTTTGAGGCAGAATAACGTAGTAAAAGACGCTGGAAAACAAATTTAACGATTTGGAATATTCACTGTTTTTATTATTGTTATTATTATTATTACTATTACTAATGTTGCCTAGAGCTCTACTTGGTGGTGACACGGAGAAATGAAAAACGGTATGTCCATTATCTTTGTCTGAAACGCAATTCTTTTGTGCTTATCATACGACAGTCCATCTATTAAACACAGCTGTTTGGCTATATTGAATGCGATTTCGTTATCGTGTCGATTCCGCAAACCGAGTCACTGACTGCTGATCTGCCATCACCAAGCGGTCGCGAACGGAATCATAATGAATATATCAACCACTAAATATAGAAGGTCTTTGATATCAACACAATATTATAATAACATTATCGTTATCAATTATGACGAATCGTCGGCAATTCGGAATAGTCACCGACTACCGTTTTTATTTAATAAATGTAAACTAACCACAATAGTCAATTTACATTAGTTGTTAAATCGTTTATACCGTAGTCGCAACTCGTAATGAGAGTTGTTCATGTTAAACATAATGTTTATGGTTAACACTGAGTTTTCTGTCCGAAGATAATGTTTGATTTCACTACTCCTAATTATCGTATTATTATACTTTAATATAACTAGTTTAATGGTCAATAGTAAAATTGTTGAAATACTACCAAACCTTTTTGTATAAAAGTACTTTTTGACGAAATGCGATTACATGATTGGAATAGTTGATTGATCTAAGTGAAAGCTCGGGTAACTTAATCAAAAGATTGATATTACTCATATGTAATATGCCTTACAATTTATTTGTATCTTGATCATTTTTCAGTGAATTGTATTAAGTCGTATATTTTAAAGTAAAATATTATTCAACATTCTATTTGAATTTATTGAATAGATTAATTGTTATTCTCAAGTTATTAAAAAACGTGTTATGGTGGACAAGAAGAAATCTGATCAAAAAAAACCTGAACAAACAAAACCTGAACCCAGCAGACACTACACTAATGAACTTTGCGAACTATCCCCTGAGAAAGCTGATGAGGTAGTTGGAAGATCACTTAAATTATATGTAAGTAAAAGTGAATACTACTCAACCATTATTTCTGTCGCTGTTAGTAATATATAATACATTTAGATCTTGAAATAATTTTGATTATATACAATATAAAGTAAACAATTTATGATTTTGAATTAATTACATTTGTTTTGTTGTCATACTTAAGCAATTAAATATTAATTAATTCATTCATAACTTTTCTTTACATTAAAATAAATTACAAATATTCATAATTTGTAACTTCTATAAATATCTTGTATATGAAAAATTAATTATTAAAGTATATTACATAAAATATATTAGTATACATGTTTATCAATTATTTTATGTACTAGGTTTGTATTATCACATTTGAACATAAATTTGTTTGGGTCTAAAATATTTCTAAAATATTTAACTTATTTTTAAAATAAATGTGTAAAATACTTGTGCCTTAAAAAAAAAAAAGTTACTGAGTCATTTCTTCATTATAAATTCTAATGAACATTGTATTGAATATAGGTACAATTTGATACTGAATTGAATGAAACAAATAGTTTTTAACCTTTTACTGCTACGGACGTACTATTACGTCGCACGCAAACATACCGTTCCCTGCTACGGACGTACTATTACGTTCCTTTATCTATAAAACGAAATACGCAGGTTATCACATTAGTGATTATACCAAAAAATGCAGAAAAATTAAACGAATTTAACAGTATGAAAAAAACATTTCTATGTTCATTGTGGTAGCAATGAAAATTAATTTAACTTAATACTTATTTCAGTGGTTACTAAAATGACGCTGTTGTGTTCTGTGCGCTTTATCTGTAACCGGTTTACTGCTATAATAATCATAATTATGCGGTTCCTAAGCTAGGTTTCCTAGTTTGGTCACCCCTGGTCGTATAAACTTAAAACTTATAATTCAAGCCAATATATATATATATTTATTTTTTTTTTTTGACTTCAACATATGGTTCAATTTAACTAAATTAATCAATTAGGAACATTAAAAAAAAAAAAAAAACAAAAATAATTCAGCAGAGATGAGTATTTTAGAGAAAAAAAAAACTTAGCAGTGTAAAGGTTAATATAAATGTATTAATTATATAGTGATATTTGTCTCAAAACATAATTGGCAAAAATAAAAATATTCAATTAAATTAATTTTTTATTATACTACTTAATAAGAATAATTTACTATTTTATGTAAATTTAATTTCAAATTTTTATTTTTCTAAATTTATAAGCAATCTGTTAGTACAAATATTTTAATACTTATTATTAATTACTAAATTATTTTAAAATCATTGGTCATATAATTATATAATATAATTTTTAAATTAGTATACAAGGTAACATTTTAAAAAAGACTATGTGTTTTTATAGTTATAACAAAAAAAAAGAATAAAAAGTTTATGTTTTTTTAAATGTATAAAATCCATATTTTATTTTTTAATGACTGCATTTTAATTTTTTTTTCAGTATATGGTTGATAAATTCAAAACTACTCAGACATTTGAAAATAAATTGAATGAATTTGTGGAAGCTAATATGCATATCTTAAGTCAACAAGTTAAATTATTTTTAAAAAAACCTAAACCTAAAGAACATGAACTTACTGTGGAGTCTGTTTATTCTGGAATGGCAGGAATTGCGTTACTATATAATTTCTATGCTTCTAAGACAAATAATAAAAACAAAACTAGAGAGGTTAGTAAGTTTATTTAGTAATTAAAATTATCTCAATATTATTTTGAAAAATGTATTGTAAAATATTCTTGTATATTAATTTTTACAGAAGGCTAAACAAATTATTGAAAAATGTATAGCAGTATTAGATGATAAATCCAATAGCGTGACATATTTAACTGGAAAGTCTGGTATATATGTAACAGCTACTGAGATTTATAAAGACATGGGTGATCTTGATAATGCAAGAAAAATGATTGAAAAGTAAGTAATTTTTTTTATAATACATATATTACATTAAAAATTTATGTTGATATTTTTGATAAAAATAGAATCGTAGGATTATTATCATTAGCATTAAATGAAAAAATGCCAGATGTATTATTTTATGGACGTGCTGGCTATTTATATTCTTTACTACTACTTAAAAAGATTGGTTGGGAAGACCCAGAAAGAGATAGATTAATACGCTCGGTAATATATTTAAAGTGTTAAGTTTTTAAATATTAAAATCGACATGAACTTATGGTAAAGTATATAAATATAACAGGTGGTGACAACAATTTTTAACAATGGTATACGGACATGTGTAAAGGATAAACCAAGAAAAACATCTCTTATGTATAAATGGCACAACAAAAAATACTTGGGAGCAGCACAAGGTCTATCAGGCATTTTGCATTGCCTTCTCCTAGTAAGATTTTATTGATCAATTATGTATGATTTTCATAATATGATATATATTTATGAACAAATCATTCTTTATTTAATTTTAATTATTCTAATTTATTTTTTATGTAATACTTAAATATAGCACTATTTATAGTTGTAATTATTATTCAATTATTTTAGGCAAAAACATATGTAACAAAGAAAGAACTAGATGATCTCATTAAACCAGCACTTGACTATTTATTAACACTAAGGTATAAATCTGGAAATTTACCATCTTCCTTATGCAATGATCCAGATACTTTAGTTCAGTGGTGTCATGGTGCTCCAGGTGTTTCACATACTTATGCATTAGCTTACAAAGTAATAATTTGATATTTTAGCTTATCATTAAGTAAATTAATATGGAAAAATTTCAAACCTTTTAAACTCTTTAACAATATCATATTAAATGAATATAGTTATGAATACATAATATATATTAGTTGCAGTTGTGCAATTATGTAATATGTGCCGCAAGGACCTCATTTAAGGCCTTTATTATTAATTTTATTTATTAATTACTTGGCTAGTATTTTTTTATATACCTATTAATGTTCTATTATTTGCTGATGAGGTTAAAATACTTTTAGCTATAAACTCACAGCATGATTGTTTTATATTACAATCTTACTAAGAATAACTTATAAATGTTATCATATGTGGGTTTGCAAATTTTTTTCCATATTTTATTCTCAAATGTTCTTAGTCTCCTTAGTGTATTACTAGTCGTCGTCCATGTTTCTTATCCTTATGTCAACGAGGGTTATATTATTATTGCCATGTATAATTTTGTCTTTGTTTTCTTTGAAAATAAATTTGATTTCAGAAACTTAGTGTAAAAGCTGCTATTACAGTTTTTGTTATCCTTACTCTAATCTTTCATGACCAATCATTCTTGAGACTCAAATAGTTCCTAAATATTGAAATTTATTATTTGTATTGTACTTTTATATTAAGTTTAATAGAAAAGTTTTCACCCATTTATAATTTAAATAAATAAATAAAATTATGCATTCTTATTAGAAGGGCGGTAGTCTCTTTCTGTAAGCAAATAACTTTAAAATACACACTAAAATATTGTTAAACCATAATCAAATTAGCCCTATTAGTAATAAGGCATATAAAGAGAATAATAATATCTGTATTTGTTTAAGTTTTATTGAGCATATAAGATAGTGTTTTAGAAAACTTTATAAGTTTTCAATTTATACAAACAAATACAATTTTATAGTTAAGGAAACCAAAAAAATAATAAATATTAATTACAGTTGTACAATACAGTAATATTGAACCAATAAATTATGTTTAAAAATAGATTTTTCGTGATGAAAAGTACCTTAATGCAGCAGAACAGTATGCTGACGTTGTATGGAAGCGAGGATTATTAACAAAAGGATATGGATTATGTCATGGTGTTAGTGGAAATACCTATACTTTTATGACATTGTACCAATTAACTGGAGTAAGATAATTATATTATAATTAATTTTATCAAATGAAATATATTTATAATAAAGTAAATAGCAACGACCTATTATAAGTTAAAATTGTTAATATGTTATATATTAATAAATTTATTAAAATAGTAATATCTTTAAATCAGTCTGTATCAAAATGTATGAATAAGTTCTTATTATTTTAAAAACATAATATGAATAAATAAATGTATACAATTCAGATGATTAAAATATTGCATAATACATTACATTTAATAAGTTTACTTTTACCACTTTTATTAAATTGTATCACTAAATTCAGTGTAGACTTCATTCATTTTTTTTTTATTAATGAGTATAGAGCAAGGTTAACTACGTTCAGAGCATTCATCTTACAAGTACCTGAAAAATAATATGCTTTACTCAAAATAATCAAATTATTAATGGCCAGTTTATTAAAAGTAATCAAATTAAAATATTCCAAAGTATTATTATTTTTTTTTTAATTGTTTTAATAGTGTAAACATTTTAAACATGTTAGTGGTATAATTTGCACTCAACCTATATATATATTATATACTAAAAATAAAGAATTCAGGGAAGTACTCTTTTCGATATGGATTTCCTTTTGAGGAATAATTGTACCAAAATATAGCATTGATAATTTATTGTTAGTAAAATGTATTAAAAATAAAGTTATACTTACTAAATTAATAGAAATTTCTCTGTCTCTTATTTATACCCAACCAATTAATGAAGATTAATAATTTTTAATTAATAAAATTCCATTATTATTTTTTATAGAAAAGTAAGTATTTGTATCGAGCTGCAAGATTTATTGATTGGTGCTTAACAACCGACCGTCAAAACAAAATACCTGATCAGCCATATTCATTGTTTGAAGGTATTAAAAATTTATATAGAAAAACTAATAACTAACAATTATTCAAGTTTATTTACTGTAATTTAATTTTTATTAAAAGTATTAAAAATTGTTTCTATACTGTAAATTAAAATTTATTTAAAAAAGTAATAACCAACAATTATTCTTAATTATTTACTGTAATTTAATCTTAACTAGAAATATTAAAAATTGTTTTTATACTTTAAATTTAAAATATTATTTATAAACTTGACAAACTGAATTTAGTAAAATGTTTCTATTGGGTATGTCTACAGTTGAGATTATTTAAATGTGCAATTTTAATTAAAATCAATTTAGTATTTATAAATTACATTTTATTGAAACAATTATTTTTTTTTTTTTTAGGTATATCTGGTGTCACATACGCTCTGTTGGATGTTCAAAATCCCGCACTAGCTAATTTTCCAGGGTTTTAATATTTGAAGAAATAAGAATAATTTTAATTTATGGATTAAACATATATACTTTGATATTTGATTATTATATAAATATTAATATTAAGATAATGTTATTCCTTTCCGTGTTCTACAAGAATTTAAATTCCATAAAATTAAAAAAAAAAAAATCTTTAAAATTTACTTTTAAAACAATTAAGATAAATCTTGTGTTTAGGAATAAATACTTTTCTATTAAAACCATAGATATAATAAATACTTTCTAGTATGTCTGATCAATTTAGTAAAATTAGATACCTATATTAGCAGCTTCTAATTAATGAAATCACTATTTTCATTCAAATAAATTGCATTTGTGTGTTATTACATATTTAACAAAGTCGAAAAATTTATTTTCCAAACTAATTTAACAGCGATATTTAATTAGTAAATACAAATCGCTTATTTATTCTAGCTTTATCTTATTATTTTATTGAGATGTTTATTAATAATAACGTTTTATTGATAAATAATGTGATACATTAATTATTACGACCGATTATTAATACTATTATTTTATTAATATATTGAAATTTTTATACATTTTACCATTATATTGGATATATTACATTTTGATTAATTTGAATTAAAATATTTAAAAAAAAACTCATAAACTAGAAGTTTTTAATATATTCATGCCTGTTCACCTAAGAACATTTTCAAAATATTTTTTGATTTCATAATATTAAAATTAAACCATAACTTAAAGTATATCAAACTCATGTTTAATATGGATTTCAATTTTAAAGATAGTTTTTTACAAATTTCTCTAGTCAAAATATGTTAATGAATTTATTCAATTCACAAGATCAAGTTAATTTATATATTAAAGCACATGTGTAGTATAGAGTTCAAATTTAAAGATAGTTTTCTACAAATTTCTCTAGTCAAAATATGTTAATGCATTTATTCAATTCACAAAATCAAGTTAATTTATATGTTAATAATAAATAATCTAAAATCTAATGAAATCACTTATAGGGTCATGACTTAAAACATATTAGATTTAAAAAGTTATCATAATATTATAATAATATATTTTAAAAAGCTAATGAGATTCGTATAATAAAATAATTTTATGATCTAATATTATTACATTATTTTATGATACGATTTAATAAATACTCAAGTTATTTTTTAAAATGTTTGTTTTCCTAAAAGTGAAATTAAGTTATTTTTTAGTTAACATTTTAAAACTTATGTTGTTTTATTAAAAACGAATAAATGCTCTCTGGACAAAAAAAAAAATAAAAAATGTATGACATGAATATAAGATTATTATTCTCCTCCTTTTAAGATAATAATATTTACTAAGCAACTTAGAAATATAAGTAATTAAAAATTAAAATTAATAATTATATATATTAATATAGTTAATTATATTATAACATTTTGTAAGTTATTGAAAACTATTCAATGCAAACTGTATATATGTATTCTCTTCCATCACTTTTTTTATTATCATTATTATTGTATTATTATTATTATTATTATTATATTGTGCCAGATCTAAATGATCAATATCCTACTTTAATAAACCTATTATGGTTTTTGGTTTGTAATTTATTTTTGTAAATTATTATAATAATATTGTGCCAGATCTTAATGATCACTATCCTACTTTAATATATCAAGGTTTTTGGTTTGTAAATTATTATTATTATTGCTATACTCTACTAGATCTTGGTGATCTCTATCTTATTTTTATTTATATTGGCTCTTGGTTCGTTTCTTTGAGTAATTTTTATCTGTATTGTTTTAAATTCTATTAAACTGATAAACAAATTATTTTTTTTTTATTTAGATTATTTTTTAAATATTTATAAAATTGTATAAAACTGCAAATTATTATTTTATACAAAAATCATTAATTAATTTTGTTGTATTGAATTATTTGATACTCTTATATAATACTCTTTAAAAATTTACCCATGAATAAATATTTTATCACCTAACTTTTTATGTGTGTAAAATATGTTTATTTAATAACACAATATTAAGTAATGAATTATGTACATTTGTGTGCGTTAAATAGTTAATATAATAGATAATAGAGATAAAACTCTCACATACTTTCAGATAATTCATTAATTAATGAAATAGATAATTTAGGCCGTATTTAACACAATTATAATAATATACTTTAAGTAGTTATCATTTCCTACTACTATCCATTTAAGCAATATTTTGATTTCTTTGAAAATAATTTTATTTCTACTTTATTTATTATCATGAATCATATCTATCGGTATTTAGTAGTGTTAAATACGATTTAAACATGTGTATAATATTGAAATTAATTAACTCTTATGTACAGTGCCGCATTACCCATTAGGCAGAGTAGGCACTCCCCTTAGGGTCTCACTCGTTTAAGGGGTCTTGTGAATACGAAAACTATATTTTATTTTATTTAATAATATATTTATTTTATTTATGAATTTACGGGACAAAAGTCGTTATAGAATATATATTAAGCTGTAGGCGTTATAGGCAGTAATAATAATACAATTATTTTGAGAAAAATAGAAATAATATAATAATTTATTGATTTTTTTTGTAAAAATATTCAATTAACACGATTTTGTTTATATATAATAGTTGGTTATTATTAAAGCTGTTTATTTTAACTATTGGATAGTAATGTTAAAAATGTATGTAAAAAATTATTTTGAAGAGCTCAAAATTTTAATTGCCTAGTGGCCCATAAATGATTAATCCGGCACTGCTACATCAGTGGGGGTGCATGTAGGAAGCAATTATTTAGGTATTTAATGGATTAGTGAAATATGAATATTTTACGTTCAATAAAAATTCAAGCATTTTTTTTATTTTTTAATTTTAGTTAATGGCCAATAGATCCAAATATTATTTATATTTTATATAAAGGGGTGGGGGGGGTTAAATCCACGTGAAACAAAAAATTTATCATAAAAGTATATGAAATATCGAAATTTGGTTCCACATAGTGGATATAACATATGTTAATATGTTGATATAATAGCATCAATATTTGTATTACATTTATATTGAATCAGTGGCGTCGAATCTTTTTTATATCACTGGGGTAAACCCTACTTATGGGTACCCACCTACTCACCAAAAAATCATAAATAGCAAGTATTGTATACCTGTAAGCTACGAGTATTTACTACACATCTAGTCATTACATAATATTATGGAATTTTTTACCGTACAATAATATATCTAGCGCTCATAAAGTCTAACCACCCACCCACCACCTAAACAATTTCTGGGGTATTTACCCCACTTGCCATACGTTTTTGGCGCCACTGTATTGAATATTTATAATAATTAAGAAATGTTAAAGATTGTTGTTCATGTACTAAGAACTCAATTTTTAATTTTATTACAGTCTGAATTCTAAACCCGCCCTCTATAGATCATCTTCAGAAAATTAATTCAAGTACTTGTAATTTTTAGACTAGATGTATTCTAATGAAAATAACACATCTACTATAAGTAATAAATAAAAAGCGGAATTGTCATATTAAAATTATATTATTATATTGATTTGATCGAAGTCTGAAAATTGAATAAAACCATTAAAAAAATTAAACATTTAACTATATACAATATAATTAAATTAAATGTATGCTGATTTGTATGTCTGTGAAAATAAAACCGTTTTTGGGTGCAGAAATCCGATACCTGTGTCCTTTATGTGATGTCATAACTACCTACGTACCAAACTATTAAAATCGACGCCAAGCGTAAATTAAGTAATAAAAAATATTTATTTACACTGGCGCATTAATTACTTAAGTGTAAAAAAAATATTCGAAATTTTCTCTAGCCATGGAAGAATAGAATTTGAAAATTGTTGTACCACAGGCATCTATGACCACGGCTGGAGAGGCAAAATGTAAAATTTTAATTTTTGCATACATCATCTATATACCTACCTAATATTTATGACTCTGTTCTCATGGTATTACAATATAAACTAGGGTTACCAACTTTCAAATTGTTTAATGTTGGACAATTTTTTTCATACCCAATTTATTCCATTTTTCGGCAGCGAACCCAGGATTTCGGAGGTGGTAGTGGATGCAAAGTAAAAAATTAAAAGACCATCACTATGGTTATTTTTACTGGTTATATGTATGAACAATACGGCCTTTGGTCCCCCCACCAAATGCCCCCCCGCATGGACCATTCTTCCCATGGCTATGGCACTGCATAGTAGTGGCAATACTACAACTAACAGTATATAATATTATATTGATAACTAAGAAAAACATCTTATACATTTTATTTATATCACTTATTAAATTAGCTTATTAATTATAACACTTGGATGTTTACCACCTTAATTAAATAATAAATTGACAAAATTAAAAGAATAATAATATTGAAATATAAATAGGAATTTGTGTAAAATTTAGAATTGTTCTACAAATAGTTTATAGCATTTATTGAACGTAGGACAAATGAAACAAATGTAGGACGGTTGGCAACCCTAATATAAAGACATGCAACTTTTTATGTAAATATGTATACATCTACAAGTTAGAAAAACCGAAATTATTATGATACCCGATACACAATATTTTATTATCATTAATTAAGAACGTCGTTTTTGATTAACATTATCTATATGTCTATAGATATAGTCTATAGGTATATTTATATAGGTTCAAGTTTTAGGGTTTAATCCATAAACCATCGAAGTATATTTTCCGGTTAAGAAAGTATTAACCGAACGACCTTCCGAAAACAAATAAGAATAATAACGAAAGTACAATATTTATAAATATTGGCAATTGATAATCATTTTTACAAAAGTTATGAAGATATCCAGGTATTCGATAGGTCTAAGGAAAATAATATACGTGTAAATGTTACCTGATCGATACACGTTTACAAGGTTTGTCTTAATTTTCGAGAAATGCCGATTGTGAAAACTGTCGTAAAAGTGTCGAGTAGGTAATTGGTACTAAAGATATAGAGCCAGTGCTCGAATTGGGAGGAGGGGACACGGACGGACAGCATCCTCTTCAATTTGTTCATAGATTTCAACGCCCCCCCTTCATTTAATTAAACGAGTAACGCTAAAAACGAGCCCCTTCTGGGGATGTTTACTTTTGAACGTAATATTTGGATTTTG